GAGAGAGAGAGAGAGAGAGAGAGAGAGAGAGAGAGAGAGAGAGAGGTGAAGAGGGGGCCAATGTAGCCATTTTTTTGTTTGTTTGTATGGTTATCTATGCGAGTTGCTGCACAAAGAAAATAAAGAATAAAAATACGATAAAGATGAAAACTAATGCTTTTATGTATGAAAGTAGACGAAAGCCCCGACTCAAAAGTTATGAACTGTAAAATATGTAAGAAATATTGGCATTCAGAAAGTTTCTAGGTCATAAAAAATTGGAGATCCACACTCCATAATATATGAACCAAAAAATGTGTTGTTGAAACTCACTCCTAAAATAGATGATACTCGATTCCAAGTTGGTGGAATCACGGTGCCGCATGCTCAGAACTATCATTTATGGCATAAGGATCTAGTCCCCATTAACATGGGACCGAGTTTCCTGATTTACTAGATTGAGATCCCATGTCTCGGAGTGAGGGATCGGGTTTTTGGAACGAGAGCAAGCCCCTCCTTAGAAGATCCCAATAACTATGACATAAAAGTTTTTAGCGCCTTCAGTACCCCTCGGCCTTCTATGGAGCTCGCTTGACCTTGTTCCCTTGGCACTTGAACACAGTGCTAACAAAATCCCACATGACTTGGATTACCATCTGCGAAATCCCACTCCATGACTGGGATATTGAAGTCCTTAAAACAAATCGGTGAGGCTTGTGGGGGTTTGTTGCAGTTCAATTGGAAATAAGTGGGGATCGTTCATCTAGGGGTAATCCAACTACTAGTAGAGACCTTTACCCTTCTTCAATCCCTAGAACCCTTTGGCTGGTAATTGCCCATTCTAAGTTCTTACTTTGAATTCAACCATGTTGACCTAAAGCCCGTCTCTGTTTTGATGGAGCAGCACTCACAGAAGTAAGTTTGTATCAAGGACACAAGTTTGAAGAAGGACGGCAAGTTGGTGGACACTCTAAAAAACCTAGAAAATCCTCTCCTTGCAGGAATATTTGGGCTTCCTGCCACATGCTGACCATTGAAAGGGAAGACTGGCATGACATACAATTGGCTATGTTAGGGCGACCAATAAATCACGTGGCTGCAAGGGAGCGCATAGAGAAAATCATAGTTGTTGGAAACGCCTGGGTAACTAAATCGGTTTAGGTATCGAGATCGTGACCTAGCTAGAAGATTCATGTTTTAGGAGTCGACGTTCGTACAGTGGGAATCATGGGAACCGAGATTCTTAATTTTTAGAATCGCGACTTGACCAAAATAGAATCATGATTCCTCCACATGTGGAATAGAGATTCCGACCTCCTTGGAATCGAGATTCCTACGTCTTTGGACTCGACCTACAGGGAATCAAGATTTATTTATATGTGCAATCGAGATTCCGACAACAATGAAATCGAGTTTCTGATGTGTGGAATTGATATCTGTACCAGTTTAGAATTGAGATTCCAACATCTTTGGA